GGGGGGGGGTTATTACGTGACGAGACCGAACAACGGCTGACAGAGATTCTATAGTTTCCCTTGAATGCGTATTGGACGAATATACGAAGGTAACGAAATTTGAGCAAAATCAGTTTTATTACCTCTGATTTAAAGACTAATAAAAAACTATACAAGCTTTTGGAAAATAAGTGATGAAGCCTATCATAATTTCAGTTTATCTCAAAAGTTATGCGTTTTATGATAATTTTTTTGTTTACGAAAAACTAAAAATGATTTTTTTTACTCTTTCATGCATCTTAAACGTCCTTGTAATCACATTTTTATCAAATTTGATTAGAATCTTTAAAGATGGCTTGAAATGCATACTTCCGTAAACTAAATAACTGATTCCTGCTTATACCTATTCACTCGCTACTTTGCAGGCTGAAATATAAATCTGCCATCGCAGACAGATAAATCCAGTGCAGATCAACTATAGATAAAAACAGCTACATCATAAAAAGAACACTTTTCAAATATATACATATCAGCCATTGTCAAAAGAGGACTTGGGATCGTCCTTAATTTCCACTAAGGCAACACAGCGGTCAAACGCCTGCTCATGCGCTAACGTTCACACGGCGCGTTATCGTGTTTTAACGCTATCAAGCCAAGGCACTTTATAGGACTTAAAGATAATCACTTAGGCTAGTAAGTCAAGGTATCTGGAAAAGTTTTACATTTTTGATAAAGCTTAAAAAAAAAATGGCGAATCAACAGATAACACGAGATCTTGTGAAGAGGATCGCGGTTGCACCAAAATAACCACGGGAGAAAACTGGCCCAAAATCCCTTCTTGCTTATTAAACTTTAGATACTGCTTCCGCTTCGCCATCTGGGATCTAGCGACAAACGAAAAATTAGAAAACACAGCCATATTAAACCTTATTTAAGTACTCACTGGTTACCAGAGATGTCGTTCCCCTAATTCATTGCGAGCGGGAATAGAAAACTTTATTTCCTGCCCTCAGTGGCGTAAGGGAAAGTGTAACCCTCGCTTCCCACCGTAAGGGAATAGGGGATCGTCCTATCGAGATACGAATTTACTACATGCGCAAAGAACTCTCAAGAACTGCACCTGCAGCTCGTGCACATGGATTTTCGAAAAGGGTCTGGGTCGAGCCTCCTTCCGATGTCCCCCTTCTATCCCATTTACAGCATTCATCGGTCATCTTACCTCCCAGTAATCACCGTCATCATACATTTGTTCCTGAGTTGGTGTGTCGCAGAACGACCCATTCACAATCATACCTAGAGAGATATGAAACGAAACTAATCACGAAACGCGCACTCCTTTATCGATTGATAACACTGTTATTGAACCAGGTCAGCGTAAAATGTCATTAATTGTCAGTATCTCGCCGCTGACGAATAGCGATATTCTGCTTAATCTTGTCCCACAGTTCATTTTTTGTTGTTGTTCAAAAATCATTATCCATAAGATATAAGGTTTTTCTTTCACTGTCGGCAGCTTTCTAAGATATGGGAATAAGTCAAAATTCTTATCACAAATAGGTCTATGCATTCTAATAAGCCCCCACTGTTTATTTTATATCTTCCTTGGGAAACTACGAAGTCGCCTGAAGATGTATATTGAAATCATGAGGTTTCAGAGAGATGGAGTATAAAAAAACGCGGGTGTTTCATTTCCTTTGTGTAACATAGCTAAAACTACATTCAATAATAATTCCTTGTTACGGTATAATAGTTTTATTACCAGTTACAATTCCGCCGATGATAGCAACACCAATTGTGGCCACGAGACCAGCGATCTGGTAACCAGCCTGAACAGAGGCTGTGCGTTGATCTCCCGCGTTAAACTTTACACCCATATTCCTCATCTCCCAGTATTCAGTGGTGTTCATCTTTGGCGCACGCGCACTCCACACACTAAATAGACTTAAAATTGGAAAAATACGAGTCAGTTGTTGGCAGCTAGCACGGATCGTTTGCTGCTGAATCAGTTCTATAACAAAAGTCGCATTTTCTCGGTTGGTTGTTTTGACCCTTTCTACATCAACATTTGCAGTCATATTCCGCATACTGTTCTCTTTACATTCCTTATGATCCTGGCAAGGAGAATGTGGCGACCATTTCATGAGCCTCTTAAATTGGGGATCATAGTCTTCATTCTCATGACCTTTACATTTGATTCAAGAGAGACACTATTGGGAGAAATTAGAAGCCAGACAATTCAATGACTATCACGACGGTGACTTCTTATTATGCATTGGAAACTGGTCAAGAAACGCGAAGAAATTATATTTTTATTATGCCCCTTTAATTACGCGGAGAAAATAAGAAATTCCCTCCCTGGCGAGTTCTGTTAGAATGAAAAGAAAGCCACTTTTTCTTTCTTTTTTAAGGTACGCACGCTTTCTAGTTCCTGTCAGGATGCGTAGTGGACGTCTATGGATCACCTTAATGTAATCAATGTCAACCACGAAGCTTTTCTCTATCGCGCACGACCGATAACGAGCAGGAGCACCCTTTAGGTCATGCGCATTAACGTTGAGATGTTCAAAATTCTAAGATAACGTACCCATCGTATCCGTATGTCTGAAAATCAGCACTAGCCGAGACGATAGCGCCCGCAATGCCACCAAAGATTCCCGGCATTCCATGCAAGTTGTTCACACCGCAGGTGTCATGGATTTTAGTAAAACTCGTCAACAATGGCTAGAGATTGAATAAAGACATTAGAAAATAACTATGTTTTGCCCTTAGCACTCAGAAGAATATAACCTGCAGTTTATTTATTAGCACTCATATCAATATGCATATTCTCCTTACTGCTAGCCGTACGTTTACTGTGGCACCGACTTGGAGACTGTTTTAAAAAATTGCAGGGATTTCTTAGCTGGCGATCATTTCTTTCATTTCATGACCTAAATGTTTGATTCAGCCGTGATACTGAAAGGGGAAATTAGGTCTCAGTTACTCTTAAGGGTTAATGGATTAATTTAACATTGCGCGTCGGTATCGGAAAATCTGCAGAATTCTCCGAGAGATTTTCCTCCACAATCAGCATGAAAATGAAATCTGATTTTAATCTTCGAGATTTTGAAATTTCATCTGGGGGAAATTCGAGTTGGTATGGAATAAAGCCAAATACATAACGTCACTAGCAGCAGAAACAAAAATAGAAACGTCGGTTAGCACGAGCACATTGTTTTCTTTGTAATTTCTGATTTGCGCGATTTTCTTTGTAATTCAGTTTTCGTGATTTGCGCAGTTATGTTTTGACCTTCCAAAACGCTTAGAGATAATCAAGATACAACACAAAACAACCTGTTTTTGCTCACACTAATGTATACGTATCCCACAGTGCTCAATGCTCCGGCACAAGAACCAATCAGAAGAGCTCCAAAAGGATTGATTGCCATGTTGGACACTGTTCCCACAGCAACGCCACCAGCAAGTGTTGCGTTTTGAACATGAACCTTAAACGTAGAGAAAGCTGTGATTAGATTCGGTGATAGCAATGAACAATTTTCAATTAAGTGTCAAAAGTAATCCGGGGTTGTTTTGGTTTTGCTTTACTTTGCTGTGTGATTGGTCCTGGAAACTCATACTACTCTCTCAGCCAATCAGATGCAAACTAAGACTTTAGGCAGTTTAGTTGGTTTTATTTCTATTTCCCATTGGGTTGTTTTGGTTTTGCTTTACTTCGCTCTGTGGTTGGTCCAGAAAACTCGTACCACTCTCTCAGCCAATTAGATACCAGTTGCCAGCGTTTTCCCACGCTTTAGGCAGTTTGGTTGGTTTTTTATCTTCCATTGGCTGTTAAAACTGTTCTCTGTTCCTCTAAACGGCCACCGCGACTACTTTGATTTTGGTTTTAAGGGTTTTTAATTTCAATTCAACTGGCCTTTCACGTCAAAATCACGGTAATCAGGAATAACTTAAAACAATGATGGCGCATTCTCTTGAAATATTCATCGACATCACCATATCGAAGTACTAGCGCTTGATTTGCGCCTTTTTAAATTCCCCGTTTATCTCATGGAAATATTTTGCAATCATCTACAGTCAAAAGAAGAATCAAGAGGAAGACAAATTTTTCTCAGTTTGCATCAAAATCACAATAGTTTCTTCACCATGCTAAGCCTCCATTTTCCTCCACTTCTCTGAAACATGGGCGACAAAACGAATGTGGTGACGCAAGCAGCGGTCAGGGAGAAATATGTGTTGATAATAGAACGTTGCTGAGCAACGTAATCCGGAGGCAGCAGAGCAGCGTTGAAACTGGGCCAGAACAACCACAGGAATACAGTACCTGAAAATGATTTTAAAATGCATCAGAATGTATGACGTAGTGATATAGAATACCTAAGTTTCAGAACCAAAGTGGGGGTTGTGGCACAAACTGAAATGTATCGAATGGCAGTTATGTCTTTCATAATAACAATAACGGTGATTTGAAGTCCTGATGTTACTCTTATTGATACTATCGATATTTTTGAAACAGCTTTCGTTTTCTCCACCAAATATATTAAGTCTCCTTCACAGCTGATCTTTGTGATGTGACGCAGCGCTTCTCTCAAACGTTTCGTTTCATCCCACAGCACGGCTGCGAAGAATACTGATCGTACACAGCATGTGAGATTTGTAACTATGTATCTGTCGTGCCTGGTCGCGCAATTCGTTTCTTGAAACATTGCGTGACTTCTATAAGACCAACTAGATATTCATGCATCAAGCAATCTTTCACGCAATCTCGTGACTCGGGAATCATGTAATGTTGGGGATCTTTTGACATTGACTAGTATCGAGGCACATGCACGTAATTACACTAATACGCTAGTGAAAGTGCGGATGAAAACACTAGACAACCTCAAAATCTTACCAATCATGGCAAAAATATCTGATTGATAAACGGATGCTTCTTTTGGACTGTCCAACGAATCCTCATTGTATAACACTCGTGACAAAGCCAAGCCGAAATACGCGCCAAAGGTGTGAATGACTATGGACCCCCCTGCGTCTGCGTACTTCAGATATTTGACAGCAATGAAATTATTGATTCCGTAGAACACAACTTCCATGATACCAATGACCAGCAGTTGCAGGCGGCTCACTTTTCCTAGAACCGCTCCGAAAGTGATGAGAACTGCAGCGGCAGCAAACTCTGCGCCAATTAAACTACGTGGAATAAGAGAAAGAGGAGGCATGAGTCGAGTTAAATACACTTCCTTCGAGCCTAAATTAGAGTCTAAATACAGGAAGCAATGAAGCAGAGAATGTTGTTCCTTCACAAAGCTACATCTAAAGCGTGACTAGCCTTACAATATCACCACTGAACCAAGCATAAAGGAAATGTTCACCAGTTTAAGAAGCTCTTGATTGTTAAACAAATTTTCCTTGTCAGCGCCTCAGAAAATGTATAGAGCACGGTATGGAGAATATGCATGCTGATGTCGAGGTGTAAGGAGTTAATTCTTACTCCCTCTCACGATATCAGACCTGACATATTGCTTAATATTTTCTCTTAAAAGCTAGTTTTACCAATAGTTTGAAAGCGTGAAAGACGAAGATGTCTTAACTTACGTTTGCATGCTAACTTTGATGTTATCGTTTCCGTCCAAACAGATCTGGTTAAAGAAACCATTTATAATTGTACTCCACTGAGCGACGAGGGCAGCAATAAAGAAGTTGTACCCCACAGAACCATATCCATACTTCTTCAGGAAGGTCATCAGAAAACCAAACCCGATGTAGATCATAACATGGACATCTTGAAATACTGTGAAAGAAAACAGAAGTTAAGTTACATTTCTGAACAGGATTCCATTTAATTGGCTTATTGCAGGGGTCAAGATTGTATGTCTAGAGATTTCAACTAATTCATGTGAGATTGGTCATTATTTATAGCCGGAGGATGGGGGTGAGGGGGGGGGGGGGGGGGGGGGGGGGGGGACGGAGTTAGAGGATTTTGATCATGTCATGATGAAACTCTCCTGATCCTCCCATAGGGCTCTGTAATATTTATATCATCTTCTCTTCCCCGCCCCCCTTACTGATACTTAAAAGGTAGTCTATTTTCTATATTCCCCCATTAATCGAACCTCGGAATGAGGAATCGAACCTCGGAATGAGGAATCGAACCTCGGAAAATAACACTTCAAATCGTGTTATTCTAAAATCAAGCGTAAAAAAAATTGTCTGGCTTCAGCTCCACTCCTAGATCAAATTAACATCAATAAAAAAAAAGAAAAGCGAGAAAAATGTTTTCGTTATGAAAGCTCTGCTTACATTATTACCCTGTTGGCGACGACTGATTCCCGT